ATCTGCCAAAGGTGAGCAGTAGCGGTTTGCAGAAATATTCTGACACTCCTCCGCAGAAGGCGTTCTTTCTGCAGCGCGCCTTGGCAATGCAAAACCCACACGCAGACGATTGTAGCACAACCCTTACTATTTCTTCGGCTTCGGGTGCTCTGGGTCGAGCTCAGCTTGACCTGTTAAGTTTTCCCAGGAGAGAAGGCTGTACGAAATGATGAAGATTGCAAAAGACGCTTGATATGGTGATAGCGATGACTCTTTTCATCAGCACCATCATCGTCTTCGACATGCACAGCATCTTCATTGCCGGATCAACACGTGATCATCATCATCATCATCATAATCATCATCATCATCATCACCAGAACGAAACTGATGCTACCACCGCTGCTTGCAGTTGTGTTCCGAACGTGTGGATGACAAGTTCGGGCTCCGGCCCACGGCTTTCTGCGGGCGAGTTGATGGCAGGCTCCTGACGATGTGCTGCTTGAAAAACGCGACGCCTCCGAACCTTCCTAAGCGGCCAAATTTCTGATAGCAGCTCTTGATGCTGTCCCTGCCTCCAAGATTATCACCGGAACCAGCTGCTACGCTACAGCTGCTGCTGCTATCTGCTTTCTGCTAGTGTGACGATGACGGCTACTGCTACTGCTCCTCCCCTTCGATTGTTGCTACCACCAATAGGACTTCTGCCACCTTTCGCCACGGCAACAGACTGAGGCTACAAACACTGATAACCAACGACAAACACACTCGAAGTTAACATGATACACACATGCATACGCACACACACAAGGACACATCGAGGCAAATGGCACCAGCAACGCAGGATCACAATAATCTGAAGTGTCATTGCCTTCGATCTTGGTGTTGTTTAGTTGTTGTGCTTACTCATACCTGGAGTTTTGCCGTAAATTGACCAGATCAGGGAAAACATAACCGTCGTCACCATCACTACCGCCACCACCACCAGAATCCTCCTCACTGATGTGTCTCCATCTTGGTCATGATCACCAACGTCATCGTCTTGACTCATCTCCATTGCCATCATCTTGCTCCTCACCCTGAGCCATCATTCGTGCAACAGTCACCACTATCATTTTCGCCATCTCCCTTGCCCAGTATGAGGAACATCAAATGAATGGTCACCATGACTATCGTGATCATGATCCGCATCGTCTCTGCTTGGGCCAAGATCACCATCATCTCATCGTTGTAACCTGTAACCATTGTACTCCTTGTCTACACATTCTTCTTCAACTTCATCTTCGTCGTCTCCATCATCATCATCATCATACTATTCCGTCTCATCTCTAGCTGCATCTGCCAGATGTGAAGGGCTTCTTATTGAGCTTCAGCTGTTTCAGACTGTTTCAGAGAGTTGGCACCTCCTGTGCAGAAGGTGTTCTCTCTGCAGTGCGCCTCGGCGAAGCCAGCAGAACAACAGGTAAAGCAAAGGTTTTGCCATGCTTTGCTGCCGTGGAGCATCGGAGACGTCTAATCTAAATGAGGTGAAACACCCGAATTGAATCATGTGAAACTATGAGCGGAAGCGCCCCTTCTCTCTGGAGCTTTCGCAGTCTGGAAGCTAGCAGTGTCACTTTTAGACTCAAGAACCCAGGCTGCAAAACCTGCTGTGGCCCACGCGGGCTGGACTGTCGGCTGACAGTCGGCCGATCCTGAGACTGCATCATGCATGGGAACATTAACCATGGCAATCACAAGAAGATGAATAGCAGCTTCGGCAGCTAAACTTGGGGTGGCAGTAGAGCAGCCTAACGCTAGCAAAAGGATGTGGAGCACACACCCCACCAAAGCGCGAGGATCCTGCCAGCGTGAGCCCACTGTAAAGGCACCCTCCAAACCGTCTCAGCCTGACAATGAGCCCAAAAGCCTGCAAGCCTCCCATCCAGCACTGAGCCAGGCACGTTTGCAGAGCTGGCTGCCCTGACGAGCGCCTCCAGAATCGGATACCTCGACATGTTTCGCTAGGCTGCGAGGCAGGTTTCAACTGCTTCCCGGCTTGAGAGATCTGTGCGCGCAGGCCGAAACTCTAAAGAACAGAACGGAACTGCTTTCTCGCATCCAAGCAGCTGCCGAAAGCTTGAACACCTCGGCAATACCAGCATCTCCGATTAAGTGATGGCTGATTTAAACTATGAGGCACGACGGTAACTTATTGTAGTACGAGTGAAGCACTTCATGCTGCATGTGCGAGGCTTGGCTCAGGGTTGCTCTGTTTTGGTCCCCAGCAACAGGAGCTCAAGCAACTAACCCCACTGGCCTTCGAAACGGAAAGACTCAGTAGGCATCTTGGAGGACAACTTCGGCAAGCCCCGTGTTACACAGACGCGGAACCCAGAGCCGAGAACATACTGCGCCAGAAGCGACTGCCGAAACACGTCCGACAGATGAGCCTACGGCTTAATCTGTGTCAGCAAGTCGTCCGGCTGCTTCAATGGATCTTGCTGCCTGTGCACGGCGCATCAAACCCACAAGGCCGAAGACATCTCACGACTGAACATGCCCAGACAGCGAGACAGGCGCGTACAGCATGCCCAACGATTTCGATGAAGAAACACCAGGACTTGTGAAGGGGTCGCAGTCAAGGCCTCCTTGCGCATGTGTGGACTCTCCCAGGTTCAAAGCAAAGGCCTTCGTCGGTCCCGGTCTCGACATCGCCCCTGAGGAAATAGACTGTTTGACCTTAGCCATGTCTAGGTGACTAGGCCCCAAGACATTCACAGAACATCCCCGCATCCGGACCAGCACGCCAGGAATCGATCTTCCAACAGCTTTCTACAACAATCTCTCCTGATTACGATTAGTGATACCAACTATAACAGTTACTAGCTATGACAGTAATACTAACCATAGGTTCGGTTGATCAGCTCACTTTCTTGGGGCCCGGGCCCCGGCAGAGAGCGGCGTGAGCCTGCAAGGGCGAGACATTGCGTTATGCTGTCATGCTGTATTCTGATATACCTATAGCCAGGCAGCTGAGCAAACAATTCAATGTACGAGAACCTTGGAACTCCGAAATGCAAACCTTTGCAATCTGCAATGTCCGCATCAACATTGGAGCGCAGGTTCCGCTTAAGCCCTCGAAGTGCACAGGAGACTCAGCACGTTTCGGAAGGGCCTTGGGAAGACACAAAGGCCGGGCTTGGCATCACCTCTTTACCTTCGCAGTCAAGACTACGGTTTAGGGTTTATAGGCTTTAGGGTATTCCCCCCAGCCTTGTTGGCTTTGCGTTGAGGCTTCGGGCTCCAGCAACGGTGGAAAATCAACGTCCCTGAATCCAAAGCTGGGCTCCCGTTCGGGGCCGTGAGGGTGGCCGCCAAAAGTCATCTCCGAAGGCCACGGCGATGGGCCTGCAACAGGCTTCGGATACAGCTGCGGTTTCGTCGACAACCACGGCGAAGCAGCGGCAAGTACATCTGATGATACAGGGATGCCATCTATCAAGGTGAACTGGCAACGCACTCCGAGTTTAGCAATAGTCGCTGTCGTAATGCTCGTAGCAGACCAGCAAGACTAGCACGAAGAACATCTGCGCGAGAAGGCCTTGCTGCTAGCATGCTGGCGCTGCCCATGCAAGGCTAAGGAACCCCCTTTTGAGGCCTGCAGCCCTAAATCCCTTTGGAAGACCCTCCAGGAATCGTCAAGTTGTGGGGCTCTGGTCCCTTCAAAGTCCCACTTAGGGAGTCTGAGCCCGTTTGGCTGACGGAAGGCTTGAACGGGCCATACATCATCTTCAGGGCTTCGGCACCTATCCCACGCACAACAGCTCAGCACATTTCGGGCCTCTGGTCTGATGAATATGCTGGAAAGTGTTCCTTAGACGAACCAGCACTTTTCATGCCCAGGCAGTTCCTGGCAAGAACTGCGGGCTTGTGTGGACCTTGCTGCAAGATGCATTGCAGAGTTCCTGGAGAAAGGAGAAAGTGTTTGGACGTCTCGAAGCCTTGTGCAGTTCCATCTCATCATAAGCTAGAGTAGGAGTTCAATGTCTATTAAGCAAAGAACGGTTCAAGAGCGAAATGTTGCATTGCCCGATGTCAGACTCCATGATTGCATGCTGAACGATGCAGAGCGGTTCAAGCGCAGCGAGGTAACGCTCACGCTGCCCAACTTTTTGTCTTGATGTGAGTTGCAAGCCGGAGCTGGGTGAACTCTTACTGCTACGCTCGCAGCTGCCCCCTTTCGTGCATCATGGCACCATGCGCTGTCTGCTTCTTGTCGGAGGGTGCTTGCACAAGAGACATATGATGCCGTGGGTGTGAGAATACAAGTGACTTGCAGCATGTCGCTTTGAAACCTCGCTTTGCAGCTGCGACCTGGTGAAACAGTGTTCCTGACATGACAGTTGCCTTTGGCAACATCCGCACATGCAAGCTGCTCCCTCGCGCTATTTAAGATGTGGGGATGCCTGGTTAAGGGCTGGGAAGTTTCTGGAAGAGCGGGGCCTTCTGCTGGTGGCTTTGTGCTTGATGGCCCGGTCCAGAGCACCCGAAAGACCCGAAAGAGCAAAGTCTCACTGGGAGCAAAGCATCACGCCGCCTTCATCCGGCCCTGGTTCAGGATGGCTTGGGGGCTCCATGCATCTTACTGGTACCTGGTCGTAAAACGTCCCAAGTCTCTGAGCCTCAGTTTCCAACGATTCGTGCTACCGGAGCTGATGTTCAGATTGCTTCGAATTGTATGATGTGCAGACAAATGAACAGCTGGCAGTGGGCAGGCTCCGCGCTCGCACGAGGCTTGAACTGTTAGACATGGTTTCGTGTCGATCCGAAGTAAGGCCATGAGTTCCTGAGGATCCTGCTCCGTTTCAAGCCGGATATCCTGCAAGTTCTGAGCTTTAGACGCTCTCTTTTAACAGGTGGTGTTCAAAGAGATGCCTCGAGCCGTCTGCCTGGACAGCCCGATCTCTGGCGAAACACAAGCGTGGCTGGGAGAGCGAGGGGTAGCCTTGATTCCTGCCTCGCACCGAACTATGCCGAAGTCACTCTGCTGCACTGCAGTCCGGTCCTCCCCCCTCCTCTGCTGTCTCCAGCTCGAAGTCGTCTTCTACGTACTCCGAGGCGGCCCCTGTAGTCATGCCATAGCTCCACACATTTCACTGGGTTTTCGCCAAGCTTGCAGCAGGGGGGCCGGCCTGGTGCAGGAGCCTCTCCTTCCACGAAGAACTCCTTTCCGACAGCTTGGGCGGAGGTGCTCTAGCTGGGCTTTTGGTAAAGGGTGACACCAACGCCTTCCTCATGATTGTTTCCTGTATCACATTCAGCATGGCAGTAGGTGGTCGCCTTCACTATTCAGCCTATGCTCCGGTCACCCGCCCGACTAACGCATGATGTTTGTTGTGTTTTCTCGCAATTCCGCGATTTCGGATTGGTTGTTGACGCGACAGCAGCTTTGAGCCATAGCTTCCCACGATATCCGATATCCCAGAGCTTGAAAGGTGCAGGGACCCTAGGCCCCAGGCTCCGAGTCCGAAACCCTGAGGCCGCCAAGGCGTCCTCGCCAGCTCGCTCTGCCACGGATCGATCTCTAAGCACCACGACGTCGTTCAACGGCTTCCCACCATCCTGGACGCAGCAGCTTCAGTGCGAGACACGTTTGGAGACACGATGCGTCGCTTTCCCACGACGGTAATGTCACGATCTTTGTGATGCCTGCAACTATGGAGCCGACCCGAAGGCCATGCTCCAAGAGCCGCCATCACCTCTTACTGCCCGGGATGAAGCTGGGGCCCCAGCCCAACCGCCGAAGATGATGAGGTGGGGACCTGATCAGATCGGTGCATCGCCTTGGAGCACCCGAAAAGCCCGCAAGATCGGGGTCCCAGGCCTATCGCCGTAGTCGTATGCCCGTATCTTTTGGTCGGCGGGGCACCCACATAGCGGTTGGCGACCTGTGCCGTCGCAAGTAGCATCATGGACAGGACTCGTCTGTGCTTTGGCCCTAGGTTCCCGCATGAGCAGCACGTCATTATGACCAACACTCCTTCAATTCTTGTCTTGAATACCGCCACATTCCAAACCCCAAGATCGTACTGCTAGTCATCGCTGCTGTATACCGTCCAGCTCCCAACCTCCCAGTTCCATGATTCTCCATGCGGTCTCGCGATCTGTCACACTTCTGGGGCTCGGCACCCACTGCATGTCAGACGTCCGCAGCGTCCAACCTGGGGGTCGAATGCAAAGCTGTGCGGCTTGTCGAGATCCAAGGTCTGTGGGCTTGGGGTGCATGCCGGCATGGAGGTTCAGACAATTTGTCTTGCAAACTGGTCTCAGTTTGACTCAAGCCTCTCACACCCCTGCATTGCTCCGCAACCCAAGAGCAAGACAACCCAAAGCCTCAAAGCGCTGTTTCCAAAGTCTAAAGAAGCCCCAAACGCAAGAACGAGCCAATTTGTCCACGGTCCGGGCAGTAGTCGCACGTCTGCTCCTCGGAGGCCGTGGGCTGCTTGGTCTCGTCCTCCGCAACCTCCGAGGAAGGCCACTGCCATTGGGATTCCTACGACTGTGACAGTGACCACCGAACGCTCCTGGCTCCTTCCGTTGCTGTTTGCGACCGATGGACATCGAATGCCGCGACAGCAACCATCTATGGATGCTTGGTGGATTGTCGCACTTCACACATGCCGTTCAGCCAGTCTTGGCCCAGCACCTAATATTGAGATAATGTATATGTGTGTGCATATATATATATACACACACACACATACATACACATACTTCGATATACAAACGCAGGCACGCACATATTGCATAATGCAGTGGTAGGGCTCACGGACTAGCCTGGACTTGCTGCTGCTGGATTTCGGAGTGCACTTCAAGGTGAAGTTGTTGCTACAGCTGGTACGATGCGGAAACATTTCGTCTTTTGCAGCACCTCGGAGATTTAGCTGCCCTGCTCACCGCCGCGGCTGAATGATTCGCAAGCCACAAGCCGGGTCCTAATGCTTGGAATGTTTGACCCGAAGATTCGTGTTGAGCCGTGGCCCACTTCACCACCCCATTCTCTGACGAATGCGTCGCGTGCATTGACTTCCGAGCCTTGCCACGCAAGGCAAAAGCCACGCCAGGCGCCTAGGCTTCGGATCGGTGGACGGTGGAGCTCCGAATTATGGATGCAGGCCTCTTCGGAACATGCTTCGAGAGAGGGTCAGGGGTGACAGCTTCTGCACAACTTCCGACTTCAGCTGGGAGTTTTTGAAAGGAAGCCGATATCGGATTGAAAAGCTTGGGGGCTACGGGATCCGGCTACTACATGCCATTCATTCGATGTCATGCCATGCAACATTTATGAGCGATGGCTTTCCAAACTCATTTGCACAAGTCAGATGACAAAAGAGCCAAGAGGCTTGGACAAGTCTTTGGGTCAACGAGGCAGAGCTGCTTGGGAGGGCGTTCCGATTATGCAGGCCTGAATTCGGGGACGACTAGCAGGACTGCTTGTGCAACCACTGAACTGGCAGCAAGTTGACACTTCACGCAAGATGGGAGAGCCAGGAGGCATCGGCCGAAGGCAACTCTGCCCACAAGGATCCACAACCCTAAACTATTTCCAAAGGTACGCTTTCCTGCATCCTGGGCCCCGTGCCGGCGCAGAGTTGCCACCCCAACCTGTTGCAGCATGGTCTGGCAGTGCATCCAAAGCGGAGCGAGAGAGTTTCGGAGGTCCACGGCCTCCGAAAATGACGGCGTCGTCCTGGCAAGGAGCTTTTTGAAGTTCATTTGTGAGTATGCTAAGAGTATAGAAGGCCTTGGGTCTGAGGACATTTGACAAGCGTTGATACTTGCCAGAGTCCAGCGTCCGGGGACCCCAAAGTGCTTGCTTGTCCCAGTCTTCCTGCCCCGGCGTCTTACCTTGGGGCATTCCCGGATGCTGGCTGTTTGTGCTGGGTTCCTTCTATCCAAAAGAAATCGTTCGCCCCACAAGAAATGAGGTCGGATGTCGATGAAACGAGAGATTTTCATGACTCATCAGAAATGCAGCTTTCAAGTACAGCTTAGAGATGCCTGGAATCTGTTGCTGGCTATGTTGGTGAAGCCCTGTACATGGCACTTAAGGCCTCCGTTTCGTCCAAGGTAGCGCTCAGTTCTCAACGGACATGTCAGGCCTCTTTGCAAAGACATGGGGAGCTCAGGCCAAAGGCTATCATGGTCCCCTGACCCTCGTGAGGCCTCGCTGAGGGTTGCCGTGTGGCTAAATCGCCCGGTCGGAGGCGAACCATGCGTACGCAGCCGAGACCTTGAAGCTGTCCCGATGGGTTCTCATTGGTTCTTAGTGAATGGGACCAACGCTGGCTAGCAAACTAATTGCACAACATCACAAAACGATACCAGATGTAAGCCTGTCCTCCACCTTCGGCCTGCACCTGAATGTGTTGCACACAGCGAGCCTTGAATAGATCTTGCACTGAGTGCGTTGCCAAAGCATGCGGTTCAGATCCAGGACACGGACCTGAATGCAGACCCAGGTTCCCAGGTTGCCCTCACCCCTGCTTGCCTACTTTGCGGCAGGTGTCCTCCGTGTATACATTCCCCACAACGAAACACCAAGCTTCCCGCGTCACTGCAGTACGCATTCTTCAGAAGATCGCCACTGTTGTCCTGAGGAAGGCTTCTTGTCATCGTGTTATGAGCATGATGTGATACCGGGATCATACCATCTGCGATTCTGGCGGACAGTGGGCTCAAAACTCGAAGCCCGTGCGTACTATTCCCACTGACCTCTGTCACTCGTCAGCACAGCTTACACAGACACCCTCCGAACCCAACAATGCAGGTGTCTGCCGGCCACTCCTTGGTGGCTATATCCGGGGTGTCCATGCAGAATCCGCCATGTATCAACAAGGACCTCGGGCGGCACTGCGGATCGCTTCGATATCTTCAGGCATTCAGATGTGCCGCTAGGGATTCTGCATGCTTACGATGCAAGCCGAGATCTAGGTTAAGCGGTGTATGCCCGCCTTGGCATGACAACATGCTCCGGTGCAGCTGGAACAGCTTACCGTTGACAAAGGGTCATGGCTGCACGCTTCTTCACCTATCATTCTAGTGCCATTGCCACCTGTTCTTGCGACGTGTCTAAACGAACCGATGTCAACCCGCAAATCTCGAAAAGGCCATCGTCGACGTCTGGGTGAGCCAGCTCTCCGGCTAACAGCGCAGCGTGTCCACAGCGAGGTGTAGGCTTGGGACCTTGGAGTGCATCCGAATCCCACAAATCCACAACTGCCGGGAGATGCCGGAAGATTGGAAAAACTGGGAACCGACAAAGGATCGTATTCGTCCTCAAGTGCCAGCCTGTGCAAAGATCATGTCTCCCCTACCTGGAGGCCTCAACCCGCACCACGTCAATCGCAAGGCCCCGGAAATTTATGACTTGGCCACATACCTAGGCCAATTTCCAGACCCTAAGCCAGACTCGAAATGTCTGCGAGCCCCCCGACGCGGCTAATCGATCCCCGAATGTCTGACAGCTGTGTGGGATCTCCGTTGTAGATTCCCAAGAAAACCGGATGGATGGGATCGCTCGGGACGCCACCCTGCGTCGCGGGGCAGCTCCACGCCATGCTTGCTAGGTCCAAGCCTCGGGTGCTTGGTTTGTAGAGACTCAGCAGGAAGAGGTACTCCGGGGGTTGGAGAGGTTGGTTGTGCTGATCTTGGCGATCTGCAGCTTGTCATAACATGCGCATGATGGTTTGAAAAGCTTCATAAAAGGGCACAGTTCTGTTTTGAAGACGTGCTCGGAGTTTGAGACTGGGACCCTATTATGAACTGCATTGCCCTCACCTAAAACCCGAGGTCCCCAACAGAATCATCCGACAAACACCTTCATTCAGATTCAGACTGTGGGGGCAATGCTCGGATCCTCTTGTTTCCTTGTGCAACTTTCGTCCACGAAGCGGTTGCGGCGATTTTGTCCGCAATCCTTCCAGCCGATAGAAAAGCACTGAGTCCGAAGCAGTGCAGGTCCCCGAAATACCTGAGAAATGCCGACTCCGTTGCTGGGCAATTTGAGGTTCTTTCCAGGCTTGGCGTTAGAGCGAGTCTTCCTGCACTGCTAGTTGTCGCATGTTGTCGCTGTTGTTGTTGTTGTTGCTGTTGCTGCTGTCGCGCTGACAGCTTTCACAAAGAGTCCTGCCAGTCCTGCTGTGGCCAGGCGTATAATCTTCGGATGCAATCACATGCAGCTGCTAGACCCCTTATCGGATCGGACGATTGATGCAACTTCGACAACGAGATGTTCAACCCAAGCACTCAGAAAGCGGATAACTCCAAACGACCGAGGAATAGAGAAACACAAAGGGCTGTTGCTTGCAAGATTTGCAATCCGCGGCGAGAGAGCTTCAGCCGGCATGCCAAGCCCCTACCCGCTGGGCTGGGCTTCCCGTCTTTCCGCTACAGGTGCCACCGAAGACGAACAATCGCGTCCCGTGGAGGTTGGCCGTGTGGCCTCGGGCTTCGGGGGCATATTGGCGTAGTGGCTTCAGCTTCAGGGCTTGCATTCACACGTAGCTGCCCTCGACACTCGTCGCTCTCTGCACAGAAACTCACAATCAGCCAATAGAACTGCGATAGACAAAGCAGTCTGGCTCAGCAAGATGCTCCATCAACCCTGACCGTGTTGCGAGAAATTGTACGGACGGCTTGTCAAGAGCGCAGCTCGATTAACAGGGGTTGACAGTTCATTTGCATACGTGCCAAACTCAAAGTGCCCCGAATCCTCCATCCTGCCGGCGAACAAGGGCCGAACCGTGCCGCGCGGAAGGCGCACCACCCGAGCTTGGGCCCTGAAACCTGAGGCTTCACATCGAAGGGCTCCGTGCTTTCGGTTTGGGGTCGAGGAGCGGTACAGCTAGAAGACTTGCTGCCTTGCTTGCTGCCGGGAGGTTGCGAGATTTCCACATTGTCGGGGACGCTTCGGACAGCTTCTGACAACCCAAGGTGGATCTTTGCACCCTGCAGAAGCGAGGATTTGCGGGAGTAGTAGTAGTAGTAGTAG